CAGACTCTAAGGTAGAGGAACTGGATGATTTTGCTAATGGGTGCTGAGACAAGTATGTGTTTGGGGTTGGCGGTGGAAGGAGCTTTGGAATTGCAGATGAAGATGGTTGTGCGATTCTTGTGTCTTGTCCTGGCTGGGTATAGGGTAAAAAAGTGCGAGTTACTCCTGAGGCTATGTTGGGTTTAGGTCTATTAGCATTTTGGAGCTTAGTTTCATACTCTAATGCTAAATTGGTTGCTCGATAGACAGTTCTAGGCTTATGGATACACACGTCCGCCTTCAACTCCTCCTTAAGGCCATTGATGAAGACACCTAACAAGCAATGTTCTGGCCAATTCTTGACGTGTGAGGACCTGCGAGCAAATTCAGAACGATACTTCAACACCGTCCCTGTTTGTCGAACGCTACAAAGGTACTCATTTGGGTTCTGGTATTCTGATGGTCCATAGTTTTCTTAAAGAGCCTTCACAAGCTCATCCCAATACACTACTGTGCGTTCATTGTTAACCCAAAAGAATAGATCAAGTTTGTCTCCCTCCAAGTACATTGATGCCATGTCCACTTTCAAATCTTCTGGGGTGTCATAGTACCTAAAATATTTCTCTGCCTTCAATATCCAGCCTCGCAGATCCCCACTGCTAAACTTGGGGAATTCAATTTTTGTGTAAGGCATTCGGCGCCTATAAGATGCTTCAGGGTCGTCCTCACTGTCATCTTCCCAATGAGAATGATGGTTTCCTCTTTGACTTCTTTCAGATGCAACCTCCAAATTGGCTACTCTATTAGCTAATGCTTCAATATTTTCCAGTCGCGCAGTAATTGGGGTCAAAGGATCACTATCTCTTGCTAAAGGATTTTCAGGATTTTCAAGTAGGTTAGGAATTCGGGATGATCTAGTCTCAACCATGGCTCTAATGCTAATTTGGTAGAACCCAAATGACTAGATAATTAAGTGAATAAAAATAAAAGCTGAAATATAATCTAGTAGAGGGTTGAGGCAAGAATCTCACTCTCAACTCACTAATAGCCAGGATAAAATCCACTAAAATTTACTTAAGCAAGGATCTCACTTAACTAAATTTAGTAGCCAGAAGGAGAATCTCAAAATTACTGAATAAATATTTATTTCTCTCATATGTTAGCCTACAGGATGGCTAACATATTTATAATGCAGAAATTACAATTGAATAAATATAAAAATTAAGTAAATATCCCTAATATCTTGGAACTAACAGAAAGAGACGTTGGTGGACCTGTAACAACCTAAAGTCCCCTTATTCAACTGATAAATCATTAATAAAATCAATAAAACCCAAAAGACTCATTCAACTCTCCTAAAAAGATGCAAACAGACTCAACCACTACTCTAGTCTCCCTATTTCTTCTCTAGTGCGTTAATGTACTGACTTGGAGTCCTATCAAAGTATCATCCCGATCCGTCTCATGTTATTGAGCCTAAAGAGATTGAGTTGCGAGATAATTTAACCTATCCAGCAGAACCAAAACGGATTTTGGATGTTAAGGATAAACAATTAAGGAATAAGACTATTCATCTTGTTAAGGTATTTTGGAAGGGCATAAGTCCTAGTGATACTACTTGGGAGACTGAGGAGAGGATGCGTCGCGAGTACCTGTACTTGTTTTCTTAGTAAGCACTTTGAGTTGCTTCTGTTTTTAATCTTTTGTATGTAGTTGTTTGAATTTTGAGGACAAAATTCTATTTAGGTGGGGAGAGTTGTAATATCCTAATATTTTAAATATATATATAATGGAGTCAACTTTCCACCTAATTCAGTGGAAAGTTGAAATTAGAAGGTTGAAAATTAGGAGAGAGTGGAAAATAGGTAGCGTGTGGAAAGGAGGAGGAAGACTTATGGGAGGAGGAGTTAATGCAAGGATGAAAATTTGTGACAAGTGGTTGGAATTGCAGAATAAAAGAGAGTAGGAGGCAGAAGGCAAGAGTGCGTGAGAGAAGGAGAGAAAGAGAGAGAATTAGAGAAAGAGAGAACGAGAGAGGAGCAGAGAAGTTTTGGCATTTTGAAGGGTAACACAAGCTTTGGGGATAATCTAGGTACATGAAATTATTTCTTTTCATCAAACTTTCTTCATGAATATTTCCTATATATTTTAAGTTTCCTAATGGCAGTATTACTAAAGTGCTTAGAAAAAATTTTGAGACTTATATATGATATAAATATGGAGTTTTGGTAAAAGATGATCATAGAAATTTGAGTTGAGGAGACTGAGGAGAGGATGCATCGCGAGTACCTGTACTTGTTTTCTTAGTAAGCACTTTGAGTTGCTTCTGTTTTTAATCTTTTGTATGTGGTTGTTTGAATTTTGAGGACAAAATTCTATTTAGATAGGGAGAGTTATAATATCCTAATATTTTAAATATATATAATGGAGTCAACTTTCCACCTAATTCAGTGGAAAGTTGAAATTAGAAGGTTGAAAATTAAGAGAGAGTGGAAAATGGGTAGCGTGTGGAAAGGAGGAGGAAGACTTATGAGAGGAGGAGTTAATGCAAGGATGAAAATTTGTGTCAGGTGGTTGGAATTGCAGAATAAAAGAGAGTAGGAGGTAGAAGGTGAGAGTGCGTGAGAGAAGGAGAGAAAGAGAGAGAATTAGAGAAAGAGAGAGGAGCAGAGAAGTTTTGGCATTTTGAAGGGTAACACAAGCTTTGGAGATAATCTAGGTACATGAAATTACTTCTTTTCATCAAACTTTCTTCATGAATATTTCTTATATATTTTAGGTTTCCTAATGACAGTATTACTAAAGTGCTTAGATAAAATTTTGAAACTTATATATGATATAAATATGGAGTTTTGGTAAAAGATGATCATAGATGATCATAGAAATTTAGAGGTAAATGAGTTGTTAATTTTAATCGGTTAGATTTGTCCATTTGTTGGTTTTTGGTGCCTAAATTGATTTTTCTAGTTGAAAAATATGTGATATATGATTTATATCATATTTTACCGATTAAAATTTAGTTGAATAATTTATTTGAGGTGTTTAACATATTATTAAGATTTTAATCGGTTTAGTTTTATTTATTGGGTGACTGGAGGTTTTAAAATAATTATTGCAGCTAAAAATTTTATTATTTATGGAAATATATATAATAGTTATATCATTAAAGTTTTGATTAGATTATTTATTTATAAATATTTGAAATATTATTGAATTTTTGATAGTTTGATTTTGAGGTTTAAGCTTAAAATGAGATTTTTAGAATTTAGAACATAATAATTTTATATTTAGAAATTGTGGAAAATCCTTTTTATTAAGGTAAATAATTTGGAGGTGATAAATAAATAATTTGGCTTGTTAGAAATTTTAAGTTACTCCTAAAATACTTAATAATTTTTTGGGTTATGAGAGCTGCGGGAATTTAGAATAAAAATTCAATTAAATTAGAAATTTAAATAATATATAGAAGCTTAATTAATTAATTAATTAGCTTATATTAATATGTGGTTATATTAATTATGTAGATTAATTATTGGTTGAGCAAAGGATTGACCTTGTGGTAATCCTTTTTATTGCTTTGGCGAGAGGTAACCACTTTCCACTTGTTATATGTGCTAATATGTTGTTTGTGATTATTTTCCTATTTTTGAATAATATTTGTTATTTGGAATTCGAGTAGATATGTTATATCTTTTAAGCTATAAAAATTGTCTTGTGGGATTTTTAGAATTGTGATTGAGAAGTTTGGAAGAGATATATGATTTATATCTTATGGATTATACTGAGAAAAAATTGAGACATTTTTCATTATATTGTGAATGATTGGTTGTTATTTGAATTTTGGATTGAGCGCTATCCTACCACGTGGTAAGGCTGCCATTGATGCACATTGGATGGCTTCCTTCGTCCTTAGAGTAAGGGATAGACCTTTGTGGCTTTTTATTCGTCCTCCAAAGTGTGGGATAGGCCTATAATAAAGGATAGACATTTGTTACTACTTATTCGTCCCCTAAAGTATGGGATAGGCCTAGATGTTGGATTGATCCCCTATAGTGAGAGATAGACTTATGTGGCTTGTGTGTTAGCCCTCATAATGAGGGTTTGGATGATTGAGATTATTTGAATATACATATTTGTATTTTCATTGATATATATATGTTGAGATTTCATAATTATCCCACTTGACACCTCACGAGCACATGTTAGTATGTATGATGAGTTGAAAAGTTGGTTATTGGGGCGTTTGTCTCACCCCTTAGTTTTTACTATCTTCAGGTGATAGTTCAGGTGGTGGCTCATCAAGGAAAGCTCCAAAGGCATAGTGTGCTGTTATAACTTGTATAGCCTCCCTGCTTTTGTTTTATGTGCTGACTTGTTATATATTGCCACATACGGCCCATATACTCTAATGCTGTAAACTAATACTTTTAATTACTACTATCTGATAGGGGGTCAATTAAAGGCTAGAGATATTTAAGACTTTGTGTATTACACTCTTTTGATAGTGTTGACTTTTGACTCATGGGCTCCATGACTTATATTAAAATGATTTATCAGTTCGTATGTTTGAAAGTATAAGTTTGGTTTGGGCTAATGGTTGAATGATATTTCTGGACTTTGGAAGTCCAAGGCCCAAGTTAATGATCGATATTACTCGTAATAGAAGTTTATTTCTTTTAACCATGATAGCGATTTTAAAATTTTAAGGTTTCTTCTTTTCTATCATGGTTAAGCATTCAAATAAATTATTGGATTTAATCTAAAAATGATTTTGAAAGAACGGTTGTCACATACTTTGTCAACTATAATCAAATAGAAGAGGGAAGAAGGATATTAAGGAAGATAATTATGGAGTTTTAGAAAAAATATGTCATATTTTTTATAATTAACTAACTTACCTAACTTTCTTAATATAATCAAATTAGTTAAATAGATCTTATATTAAGGATCGAAGTAGTATTATTCTTTCAATTTCTTGTGTTTTTACTTTTGTACTTGGGTTCAGATTCCAAATCCTTGCGATGGCGCGTGATGCTGATGGAGTTGGCTGTTCTTCAAGCTCTTTTGATTCAACTAAGAGATGGAAGTATCATGTGTTTTTGAGCTTTCGAGGGGAAGATACTCGGAAAAATTTTACTGATCATTTGTATGCTGCATTAAAACGCAAAGGATTTAGAACTTTTCGGGATGAGGAAGAACTGGAAAGGGGAGAATCTATTAATCCAAGTTTAATACAAGCAATTGAAGAATCTCGTTCTGCAATTATTGTGCTCTCCCCAAATTATGCTTCTTCAACTTGGTGTTTGGATGAGCTTCAAAAGATCCTCCTGTTGAAGGAAGAGAGAAGTCTTCAAGTATTTCCGATATTTTATGGTGTAGATCCTTCTGATGTTCGGAAACAAAAGGGAAGTTTTGCAGAAGCATTCATGAAGCATGAAGAAAGATTTGCTGAGGACAAACTAAAGGTGCAAAAGTGGAGAGATGCTTTTGAAAAAGTTGCTACTTTATCTGGTTGGGACTCAAAAAATCGGTAATTTTCACTTCTCTCAATAATTATCATCTCTTTTTTTTTGGTTGAGAAATAAGGGCGTAGATGTTTAAATATACTCTAAATTATTGTTTCATCAAGGTTTTATATTATGGCAACCCACAACTTCTCTATTGAGGAGATTGTGGGATCTATTTGCCGAAGGATAGGGTGTGTCTTGTGTCAGGCGAGTGCGTAGGTCCCTTCCCTACCCATTTAGCTTTAACTAACAAGTATTATAAATGTCGTTTACTTAAAACTAGAATACTTTAATCCATTTTACCTTAATTACATTTGCTTTTTATGCATTTTGAAAACATGCACTTAATTTTAAATGGTTAATTTTGTTAAGAGTATTTTAAAAAGATATTTTTAATTAAAATTTGTACTAGAATAATATTTATTTACTAATTTATCCTTCATCATACTAAATTCCTAATTTTGGATAAAATTATTTTGAAGAATTTAAATTTTTTATTTTTCTTTCTCTTAATTATCTCTTACAAATAAATTTTTTTTCTAATGTTTTGATCATATAGGGATAAAAGCTTAAGTAATTTAATTATTATAGATATTAAAAATTTTATTAAGAGTTTCAATAATTCCTTTAATAAATATACACTTCCCTAAATGTTTTTATAAATTCACTCCAAAAAATGTCTTTATAAATGTTTATTACAAAAATAGCTTAAAAATTTTAAGTTACAAATTTAAGTTATTAATATAACCTCTTAAACTCAAATTAATTATTATATGTATCATGAATAAAATAATCTTTTGAAATATGATCTTAGACATTTAAAAGAAATCTAAATATATATATCAATACATGTAATGAAAAAAATAAAATATTTAAATAATTTTTATGCTAAATAAGGGTATTTCAGTCAAAACAATGAGCAAGTCTTTTCGTAAAAAATACTCTCAACACTATTAATGCTGCGTGACGTGGTACTAAAAAAGGTTTGCTTTCTCTCTCTTTCTTATCCTTGTCGGCGTGAGACTGGGATGGTTGGCTCTTGAGGGATGAGAGAGAGAGAGCTGCAAGCTTTTACTAGGAAGAAAAGAAAGCAAGTCCATGCTGCCTTTTCAAATTTCAATGCCATGTCACCACAACATTAACCCTGTTGGGAGTATTTTTAACAAAAGGACTTGTCCATTTAATGTAATAAACTATAAGAATTCTATAAAAAGGAAAAAAGACTAAAATAACCTGATTTAAAATCAGATAAAACTATAAGAACTGGCAAATTATTTTTTCCTTAGTATTTCACCCATTTTATTTCATTATAGACTTGTATTTTTAAGTGGTGTTTGACAAGATGGAAAAGTGCTTTTCAAAAGTATTTTTTCACAAAACGAGACAAACTCTTCCACGTATTTACTTTATATACTATAAAAACACTTTTAAAACCATGGTTCGGTTTCCATCCAAACACCCTTTTAGTTGTTGGTAAAATAGACTTGTATCACTAGGTTGTAGATGATCTAGGTTTTCCAATTGAATTCAGTTAATGATATAATTCTGAAATGGTCATTTTCTTGAATATATATTAGTAAAATTACATAGTAATAATTATTATGTAATTCAACAATTAAAAAATTAATATTAATAATTTATAATTTCTGTAAATTTTTAAATTTCATTGTTTATTAATAAATAATTAATAGTTGTTATTATTTTTTGATGGTTGAAGACGTTACCGTATAGCGTTAGATTTGAACTCTTGTGAAATCTTGCTTAAATAAAATTAAGAAAAACTATTCAAATAATAAAATGTATTGCCAAAAAAACGAAAAGGAAACTCAACCTATAATGTATTAATTAAGTGACTTCAATATCTAGGGGCTATAGTAAAGTGCGTGGACACACGAACATAATCGTGCATATCTGCAAATAATTATCTCCTATCCCCACTAAGTGCAAACTAAGCTTCACGGAAAACTTAAGATTGCTACATTTGTGGTCATGTTTTTCTTTACATCTCACATTAAGTATTTTTTATTGTTTATGCAAGAACTTTAAAATTCAGTTGACTTAAAACCATCACGCTATTTTCATGTAAAAAAAAAATCATTTTATAATTTTATTTTCATATGAAGGTATGAAAGCGAATTCATTGAAAGCATTGCTGAAGAAATGGGGTCAAAGTTACTTGATAAATCCGCATATGGTCATGGCAAGTTAATTGGAATTGAACCAAAATTAGAAAAATTGAAGTCAATTGTAGCAAGGGAATCAGGAGGAGTTGGGTTTATAGGAATATGGGGCACAGGAGGTGTAGGCAAAACAACTCTTGCTAGAGCCTTTTATGAGCGGGAGCGAGAGCGCAAAAACTTTGAGATCCACTGCTTCCTTAATAATATTAGAGAGGCATGGGAAAAAGAAGGTTTGATTTCATTGCCAAGAAAACTTATTTCTTCTCTGGATAAAAAGAGTATGGAAGTGGCTGATTTTTATGAAGGAATGGAGTTAATAAAAAGCAAGTTGACTGACAGAAAAATCCTACTTGTCCTTGATGATGTGAGTGATATTAGGCAACTTGAAAATTTGGCTCCCAAGCAAGGATGGTTCAGCGAAGGGAGCATAATAATAATAACAACTAGGGATAAGCAATTGTTATCATCACACGGTGTATCTGCTGTGTATGAATTCAAATTATTGAGTGATAAAGAGTCCCTTGAACTTTTCCTTCAAAAAGCTTTTAAAGAAGAGCATCCTAATGAAGATTATTTGAAACTTGCTAGAACCGTCATTAAGTATGCTGGAGGCCTTCCTTTAGTGCTCACAGTGTTAGGTTCATCTCTTTGCAAAAGACCTGTAGTGGAATGGAAGGATGAACTAGCTAAGCTCAAGAAAATTCCTCCAAAGGATATTTTGAAGATACTTCAAGTGAGTTTTGATGGACTGGATGATCAGCAGAAAACTATATTCTTGGATATTGCTTGCTTTTTCAATGGGATGGACAAAGATCATGTCATACAAATTTTAGAAACTTTGGATAAGGATCTTCACCCAAAAACTGGGATAAATGTTCTCATTAAGAAATCACTAATAATTACTTATGAAGGGCATTTGTGGGTGCATGAAATTCTCCAAGACATGTGTAAATATATTGTCTATCAAGAATCACCTTATGATGCAGGCAAGCGTTCCAGGATATTGTCTTTGGAGGATGCCAATCATGTACTAAAAGGAAATAAGGTGACATTATTCCAACATTCTTGTGTTTATGTGCTTTTTAATATCAATGTATTCCATAACTTTTACATACATTTTGACCTTGGCTTGTTGTTTTATAGGGGACAGAAGCAATTCGAGGAATAGCGCTAACATTGGAAAAGTCATGTGATGCATTTTGGGATCCTGAAGCCTTATTAAAGATGAGTAATCTCAAGTTACTTATGATTTCAAGTCGCTCACATGTTTCACATTGCCAATTAAATCTTCCGCACGGGCTCAAGTCCCTTTCCAGTGACTTGAAAGTCATAGAATGGATGAGGTATCCATTATTTTATTTGCCCAATCAGCCTCAACTCTATGAACTTGTAGTACTAAAAATGCAACATAGCAAATTAAAAAAACTTTGGAGAGGGACACAGGTAGTTATGATCCTTTCATTTAAATTCTTTGTCCATAATTTACTAAATTATATTAGTGTTTGGTTTTGAGGGCTTATTGTTTCCTATTTTTCTATTGTTAGTCTCTCCCAAGCTTGAAGTCCCTTGATTTATCTCATTCAGAATACCTCATCGAAACCCCAAATTTTGATAGAATTCCTCATCTTGAAAAACTGATTCTTGAAGGGTGTTCTAACTTAGTTGAAGTTCACCAGTCTCTTGGGCAACATAAGAGGCTTGTCACTGTTGACTTGAAAGATTGCGAAAAAGTTAAAACCCTTCCAGAAAAGTTTGAGATCAATGGCTTGGAGACTTTTATTCTATCAGGTTGTTCAAAAGTTAGAAAACTTCCTCAGTTTGGAAAAGATATGACACGTCTATCTAAGCTTGATTTAGAGAAGACTGCTATAGCCAAACTACCTCACTCATTGGGCAATTTGATTGGTCTCGTTGAATTAAATTTGACGAACTGCAAAAAGCTGATCTGTCTTCCATGTAGTGTTAGTAAGTTGAAAGCTCTGAAAGTTATCAAAATTTCTCGGTGCTCAAAGTTTTCAAGGCTGCCAGAGAATTTGAATGAAAATGAAGCTTTGGAAGTGCTGGATTTGAGTGGGATTGCTATAAAAGGGTTGTCATTTAGTAACTACAATGGTGAAGCACAATCATCATCATCATGGAGTTGCTTCTCCCTTTTTCAAAGCCCTTCAAGGTCAACAAGTTTTATGCTGTTGCCGTCTTTGTCATCATTGACACATTTATGTTTACAAAACTGCAATCTCCATGACGCATCACTTCCCGATGATATCAGCATGTTATCATCACTGGAAAAGTTAAATCTAAGTCACAACAATTTCATTGACGTACCATCTGGCCTCATTTCCAATCTTTCGAAGCTTAAAACTATTGGTCTCTGTAGTTGCCCAAGGCTTCGGTCTTTGCCGCAACTTCCATCAAATCTATCATGTATATGTGCTGATGATTCCTCATCAATGAAACATTACGGACGTGCACACCAATTATGGGATTTCATTGAATCATTTCAACCTCAGGTTTATTTTATTTGTCTTTTAAGTGTTCTTTCACCTCAATCATTTTACTTCTTTAACATGGAAAATTGTTTCTTATAGGTTCGCAACCATTTAAATATGAAGTCAGCGATTGTAAAAGGGGATTCAGAAATTGTGAGTTTTTAGAATTACTTTTTTTTTTTAAATTTCTTTGACAATAAATATATAGTTTAGTTGACTTGTACATATATATTACCGTTTCTTACGTGTTAATCAACATACTTCTGATACAAACAATCTGTTTTTTTTTGGTCCCAGTTAATTTCCCTCTGTCCACCTTTTCGCGCATTAACAATTGAAGGGAGCAAAGTACCATCATGGTTTTATAATCAAAACTACTTTTGCGAGAAAGAATTCTGGTGGTGTCCAAATGTGTCGTTCATAATAAATATATCCCCTGATTATTGTGGTTCACGTGAATGGTTGGGCATAGCCATATGCTTAGTCATAGAAAAGGATCGCGCATTTGGAGAAGGGATGGATGCAATTTGTTGGAGCTGCAGACTTCCTAATGATGAATTTCCAAACTCGTATCATGTGAGTCATGTTTATTTAAATAAGGCTGGGAGTCCTCAGCTTCATATAATATATATTCCTCATTCCTCTTTGCTTATAAACGGATCCCAAATGGTATTTTTCTCTGAGAATGCAATGAAAAATAAGTCACCAAGGATGAAAATAAGCAAGTGTGGGTGGCAAGCGGTGTGCAAAGAAGATGTCGAAGCATGGCGAAGAACAAGGGACGAAGGTTGTAGTATCATCAATAACCACGTAAAGATTGATCCAGCCATCAACAGTGAAGGTTATGGTCCCTGGCCGAGACATGATGATACCGTTGTAGAAGTGGATGGCGCCTGTTCTCATTTAGATGACAAAGCGGCTTGTGGTGGCGTTCTTAAAGATGGCAACAATTGTATGAAGGAGGCTTTTCTTCTGAAATTAAGTGGTGGAGATATCCTCACAGCAAAACTATGGGGTTGCCTGATGGGTCTCAAAAGAGCTTGGGACGCTGGTATTGGATATGTTATCTTGAGAAGCGACTCCACTGAGACTGTTCGATTGATCAAATTTGAAGTTCCTGAGACGCACAAGGATATTGCTGTGATCATGGAAATTAAAGGGATGTTAGAGCGGAAATGGTTTGTGGATATCCAAGTCTTTCATAGAGACGGCAATGTCATTGCTGGTTTACTTGCTAAAAGAGCACTTAAAGGAGCAATGGGTCTGCAAATCCTAGGCCCTAAGACAATGATGAAAATATTGCAGGCCACTGGTGTTACACTCGCAGAAGATGAGAAAGATGGAGGTTATACTCAATGCTCTAGACATCATGATCAGTTTGTTGTTGAAGAAGATGAGTCTATACTTCCAAGGTACGTAGATCAACCCTTCTTAAACTTTATGTTTTATATTAATGCATGCTTGATGGCTATTTGAATTTTTCTTCGATATATTAATTTAATATAATCTTTCAATTCATGTAAATATTATATTTTTCTTGGTTATTTCATTTCCTTAGGCCATGACATTATTTAGTTTTAACAGTCCGCCACATATCAAACTAGATCTTATGTATTTCCTTAATTTTTTTTATTTCCTCTTATTTGTGAGAGAAGTCATAAGTTGAAGATAATTTTACCTCATTTGTATGTTTTAGCACATCATATAATTAATTATGAGTTATAATCAGTTTTTTCTCACAATTATAAGAGAATCTGGATGTGAAGAGTTACATGATTATATTTTTAGTATATAACCAGCTTCTTGTTCAAGAGAATGACAGGGTATTGCCAGGTGCTGAATATTAGAAAACATTTTGACATAAATTAAAGAATTTAGTTAAGATTAGTTATTTATATTTCTAAAAATTTTAAAAATGATCAAGTTCATTATTGGAGGAGGTTGTTTGGTAAAGAAATATCAAAACAAAACATAATAATGAGGACAGGAGGAGGAAGTATTAATATCAAACGGTCCAATTGCCCCAGGTGATCCACCGTATATGCATATTCATTGTTACTGTTTTGTTGTAATTGAACCAACTTCAATCATTTGGCACTATATATTAAGTCATTGTTCTTGTTTTGTTGATAGTGAGTCAGACAGCTTCAACAATCCCCATAATGAGGTTGAGAACAGAGAGGGGTTTCGTTGTTGGGAGTGGATGTCAAACTTTTGGCATTCTCTTGAGCATCTATTTCAGACTTAGTGCTAAGGTATATTTCATACTTTTTGCATTGTGCTCTATCTATACTAATATAAAATGGAAAATCCCAAAAAAATATTTTAAATTTTAAAATCTCCAATCAGAAATTGTTAAAAAAATGTGTTGTTAATTGCTATTATAGTATAGCATACAAGACTGATTTTAAATTTTAAAATTTTGATAGATATTTTTGTTAGGATTTTTCGATTCTTTCAGTAAGAATTTTTAGTTTACCTCCCTATAAATGCGGTGACCCCTTGTTTTTTTTTTAATTTTCCTTTTAATTTTGTAATTTTCTTTCAAATAAAAATACATCGTCCAATCATCTTAATGATAGTGCCACACTTCTTGTTACTACCCCCCCCCCAAAAAAAAAATCATAAGATTCGATTGGAAAGCAGTAACAAATTTTATGTTCCTTGAATGTGAATGCTTTAAAATCCACAAAATCTAGGCAAGTAGACATCCAAAACATGATATGCAGGCAGTACTTCGTTAGTAGTGATATACCCCTAAAAAGTTATAACTCTCAACTCTTATTATTTTGCACATGTTTCTAATAATTTTAAGCAGAAAATGTTAAGAAGATCTTACAATCCGCATTATGTATATAAAATAAATTAACCCCAGTTACTTCAATTCCAAGCTTACTCTTGCAAGTTTGAGAAACAAGCACAAGTTTCACACACTTTGAGGCATAAGGTAATCTACAAAATAATGTAGGTACTCCTCCGGTCCTTATTATAAGACTCAATTTGACTTTTTATTTGGTCCTAATTATAAGACCCAATCCATTTTCTCTCTTATATTTATGTATTTTTTTCCAAGATAATCCTTCTAATAATGATAGTTTTAGCCAATATACTTAATTAGTAAGGATATTTTAGGAATAACAACACTTATTTATTATAAATAACCAACTTAACTTACTTCCTTAATCTCCTCAAATAAGTCAATTGGGTCTTATAATTAGGACCGGAGGAGTATCATTTAACATATAAAATTAAATAACTTATTACATAGAATTTATTATTAATATTTGTATATGTTAGTTAAAATTTTTACTTCCAATAAAAGTCTCAAACCTCTCATAACATATAATTAAGTCTTTAATCACTATATTATAATTTCCAAAAAACTTCAGAATGCTCCTCTCTCTTTCTTTTCGTTCTCCAAATTACTTACTTACATAAAACTTTCTAAAATTCTCAAATATAAAATTATTATTATGTTTTTAAAATCTTATTTATACTTTAAATCTCAAAAATAAGCCCCCATAAGTTCAATAATACCTCAAATATATATATACAAATCATTTATTCTAAGACCCCATGGAACAAGTATCATATTCCTCACAAATAGTAACCCTTTTAACCAAGATAATTATTTTAAAATCTTAGAGATGTAAATAAAAAAAATAAACTGATAAAAATTATTTATTAATTTAGCTCTACAATCCTAGGGTCATCTCTTTTTAAAAGTCAATATTTACTCCAGATCCTAACCCCAAAAATTTATTCTAAATATCAACATGTTACTATCATCAGATAGACCTAAATGAGTAGAATAACTTTTATGAACAAAAAAAAAATTGTGAAAAGAAAATAATTTTATTTACAAAAAATCTACAAAGCTTACCCTACGAGCAAAGAAATAAAGGATAAGTCAATGCCGCTGGGGAGAAAAAAAAAGATGGGGAGCAATGTGTGTGTGTTTGTGTGTGTGTGTGTGTGTGTATATTAGGATAAACTATCCTAATGGGTCCAAGGCCTAAATTTGCAGATTTCTCTTTCTTTCTTTCTTTCCCTTTTTTTCAATTATTATATTACATTATATTATATTATACTATTTTATTCATTTTTTTCAAGTCATTATTATTTTATTGTTACTTTACTTATTTACATTTAAATAAATTTTTATCCAATTAATAATATGATAAATTTCATTTATCAGAAAATAATTTCTCCCTTAATATTACTTAAATCTTAAAATAAAATTTAAGATGTTACATATGCTATAGTGCTCGTAAGAGAATTTATTCTAGGGATTGGAAGTAACCATGGTAGTTGGGAAAAGCAAGGATTTATTTAGGTCTTTCAGCCACTGAACAGGTTACTATGTAAAACTATTTTCAAAAGTTTAAAATGTTTTAGAAAATTTCATTCTTTATACAAACCCCGTGTTTGGGGAAAAGTTTTCAAAATAGTTAATGAAAGAATTCTATTTTTTCCAGGATCCAACCTAGCTTAGCGGTTTAACATTAATTAAATAACCTCTGGGTGTATCTAAAGTAGGTTTTACAACTTTCAAATTAGTTTTTTTTTTTTAAGTACTCTATCTGTCCCTTAGGCTTATTATAAGGATCAAATAATGGAAGTGCATGACTTAAGAAAACTATTAAAATTAGTTAAAAATAAGAAATACTTTTTATTTCAAATATATCCTTATTTATAAGTGGTGAGAGTAGAAAACAGATGAGAACGTATGAGGGAAAAATAATGAGAGAGCATGCTAATGAAGGGTAAAGTGATAAAAATGATTTAATATTCAAACAAATCTCAAAAGTATTTTATAAAAAGGAATAGATGTAGCATAATGCCCTCGCACTGTCGCACACTCTAAATATTTCAAATTACTTCAAAGCCCAAATAGTCTGTTGGCATTTTCTCATCCTGTGTTCTCTAAATGGCTTTTTTGATCCGTATGATTATTGGGCCTTTTTCATGATGGTAAACCACAATGCGCTTTTAAGATTCAATATGGCGCATGGCGCTGTATGTATTGTTAAAATTTTGACAATTTGAGTTATTTATTTATTTATTTAAAATTTTATTACTATATTTATAAAATATTAAATCTTGCCCGGGAAAATTTTAATTCAGTGGTTGAAATGAGAAGTATAGAGGAAGTAGAATTTCTCTATGTGTAATACCTATTTGAATTATTGTGTTAGTTTTTAATTATAGTTTACGGAATATAAATAAGGGTAGTTTGGAAAAAAAATAGATAAATATGAAGACAAAGTAAATTGAGATGTTATATTTAGGACTAAATTAAATGTTAAACTAGTTTTTATATAAAAAAACCGGAGATAGTATAAGTTTTAAATAACTGATTTGTGTATAAAGAAAACAAACAGCTGGACCTAGTTAAAACCAATAAATAAGTGGAAAAAAAAATACTTTTTTCAAATATGTCCTTATTTATAAAAAAAAAAAAGTAAATGAGAGAGAAAATAAACGAGAAAAAGTGTGGTGAAAAAAATAATTAAAGGTAAAATTTAAAAAAAATCGCATTAAATATTGAGACATGTCCAACTTAAAACTTGTAAAATGGATTGTATTTCTCTCCCAATTTAAAGCTTATAAATAGAATTGAAAGAAGTGACAATAAACAAGACGTCTCAGATTCTACATGGTAATTAGACTGTCCAGTTTGGTTTGGTTTTTAAAAAACTGCTTGTTAACTAATCTCTCCAAACAACGGAGCTAAGCAACTATTTCGCTCAAACATTATTTTTTTTATTGCCAATTATCTTTTACTTATTATGGGATAATCAGATTGGCAATTACAAATTGTTAATTATTGTTAAGATTGGCAATTACAAAGTGGATTCCATGTATGTAAAGATTGACAAATCCGACTCACAATGTAAGTAATCTTATATTTTTTTTTTTCAAATTTAAGAAATCACACTTAGTGGGTGTTGACAAAGCTAAAAGCATGCAACAATTTTTTACTAGGGATGCATCAATCAAGTCAATAAATATTTCTTTCGATCACTTTTAAATTTCAATATAATTTTGAAGAAAGGCACCGCACGTACTTGTTAATGGAAATGACTTGGAATCAGAAAAGGAAAGACACCCATTTTAATTTGTCTAATCAAGGGATTTAATTAAATATAATCATCATCATTCTTAATTAATGATGACTTATGCACACAGAGGAGGCAGGCAGGATAAGGACAGGCAGACGGCAAATTTCAACCATAAAATCATATTTTTAAATTACAATTAATTATTACCTACGGTCCTAAATATAAAAGACAGATAAAGAGCAATATGTATGCTGTTTAGCCAAATAAAATATATATAGTTGTATAAGATTTTACTTAATTATAAAGGCTATTTAATTTATACTTCTTCATTTCATATGCATAATTACGGGTGAAATTAGGGAAAAGTCCCTTATTGAAAGTTTTATTAGCGGAGAAAATGTAAATAAGAGTATTGGTACTGTATAAAATCTGCAGGGTACCAGTTTTATCAGGTTATTTTTCGCAATAAAATTCTTAACGAGGACTTTTCCTCGAACTTCCGATAATTAATGGAACAACTAGCTGAATTCAATCCCACCCAAACCGCTACTAAAAAAGACAAGACATGAATCGCACAAGAGGAGAGTGACAAATGTGGGAGACAAATGATGAATCGGAGATATGGGGTTGAAGTCCAAAATTTGAATTTGTCCAAAGGGAGAAAACTCACGGGTTTTTTTTATCTGTTCATTTTCTTCACGTGATGTGGGAAGGAATATTGGTTGGTGCCATTCGCTCCATTTCATAGAAAACAAATTAACAGTTTGACCAGGCAAGCAACCCTTATACTCCTCCGGTCCTTAATATAGGACCCAATTACTGAGTTATTTTTGGTTCTAAATATAAGACTCATTTCTCATATTTATCAGTTTTCTCTAAATTACCCCTATAGATACTCCATCAACCATAATCAAGTAGAAGAGGGAGATGAGGTATTAAGATAGATGATAATGGTGTTTTAGGAAAAATATGTCACATTTCTTATAATTAACTAACTTACCTAACTTCCTTAATCTAATCAAATTAGTTAAATGAGTCTTATATTAAAGATCAGAGGAGTATATTTTTTCGTAGTTTTAAGATGTTAGCTTCAACCAACAAGCTGTTGGTTCAAGAAAGTAAGTTGTCTTGCCCCCGACTCCGAATCTCTCCTTTCCTCTTCTCATCTTCTTTCTTTCTCTTT